TCAATTCGTTGACCAACAGTGATCCCTGACGAAGTAGTAATAATTTCTCAAAAGACATATATAAAAGAATAAGAAAAATATATCGAGATCGAGCGAACAATTACTTTGTGATTGGCTGCGATCTGAGCCTTGAGATCGCTCAGATTGTCGGACAGATTCCTGGTTCCGGAACTTCCCGCAATTTTTCCCGGCTCCATCAACGCTTCCGTTAACTCTCTCTCTCTGAATACCCCTTTGTGCACCAACAGGAAACTTTTAAAAGTCGCTCCTTCCTGCACGAAAGAAAATTTCGTCTAATTATCAATTGATAAGAAAATTTCCAATTAATCAATTACCTGAAGCAAAGAAGTGGAGTGCGGGGGCATAGAACCAGGCGTGATTCCTCCGATATCGGCGTGGTGGCCCCTGCTGGCCACGAAGAACACCGGCTTCTCAACGTCCCTGCTCAAAATCGCGCGAGACAATCGAATACCAAATCGCTGTGATGATAAGATTCTAATAATCGGAGAAGAAATACTTGTAAAAGACAGGAGTGATGACGGTAAGGTCGGGAAGATGGGATCCCCCTGCCAGGGGATGATTCGCGAGAATCACGTCCCCCCTCTCGAATTCACCGTTGAACGCCTTCATCTGGTATTGGACTGTCTCCTGCATGGCGCCCAGGTGCACGGGTATGTGAGGGGCGTTGGAAACGAGGCCGCCGTCCGGTCCGAAAACCGCGCAAGAGAAATCCAGCCGCTCCTTGATATTCGTCGAGATGGCGGTACGCTGAAGGATCCTTCAAGTTTCAGATGTATTAAACCCGTTCGACTCTTGTTAGCCGCTAGTTGTTACTCCTATCGATCTACCTGCCCATTTGTTCGGCGATGCTCATGAAACGATGCGAGAAGATGCTCAACTGAATGGCGTCCAATTCGGTGGTGACCTCGGCTCTCGATCCTTGGCTCCCGATCGTTATCTTCACGTCGCCGCTAGGCGTGATCGACGCGCTGCAATCGGGCTCGATCAGAAGAGTGCTCAGGCTGTCCATTATGATCGCCGGTCCGTGAATCGCTTGATTGGGCGACAGGGAGCGCAATTGGTACACTTTGGTCTCCTGGTAGCCGTTCTCGAAATAGACCATGGTAGTCTAGTTTTGTTAGAAAAGAGATCGAGGTTTTGTTTAATGTTTCGATGGATCGTATTGCGTGCAACGTTCTTGCCTTTTCAAGTTTTGGCGGCTCGTTGGAGGAAGGCAAAACTGGATCCTCCTCGATATCCGTTTTCCCTGTACCCCTTATTCTCACGTCGTTTACTAGGATCTTTCGATTGGGCATCGTGAAACCGAACTCCGTTTCATATCTTGAATTTAATTACGTTTCATTAAGATTTATATTTTTTTCTTTTTTTCGTATTTCGATATTGTCGTTATGAATTCTACCTTTCCAAAAACGTGCTGAGAAAATCTCCGTGTTTCGTGCCCTTGTGTTTGGTATCTTGTGTTTGAGGGGTACACATGAGAGCGCAGTCTGTCCCTTGATAACGCAAATGTAGGAAAGGTTCCGTTTTTATGTGAGATTCGGGGAATCCTTGAGCGGCCAACTTTACACGAACTTTCCTCTCCAAGGCGTCCAATCGTTCGTCCAAACGCGCGAACGACTCTTCGAATAAAAGAATAATATAATAATGATAAATACACTTTTTCTAATCGATATAACATTTTGATCGTATTGTTAAAAAATACAAATACCCTGTTCGTAAACCTCTGCGCTAGGTTCTTGAGCCTCTTCCACGACGTCAGCCAATGCCATCCCATAGGCTGACAAAATTCCGGCATATTTGTGGATGAATACAGTTCCCATTCCTAGAGAACGCGCGATGGCACACGCGTGTTGCCCTCCCGCGCCCCCGAAACACGCCAAAACGTGGCGAGAGGTATCGTAACCTTTCGCCTGATATAAAAAAAATAACATATATATATATAAATCTTTCTGAAAGTGAATTATTCATAAATTTGTATGACATAACGTTTAATCGATCGATACCTGAGTGAGAGCTCGTATCGGTCGACACATAGTTTCGTTAGCAACTCTTACGAATCCCATCGCCACTTCCTCAATGCTCATCTTCGCACCGTGCCCCTCTTTCGCTAGAAATTCGTTTATCTATAAAATCAGACGTTTCCATAAACTATTTGTGATTCGTTCCAATGATTTCTTAATAAAAAAAAAAAACAAATAAACAAATACACTTCGTACTTGATTCGTGAGAATTTGAAAAGCTTGCATCGTTCGAGACTTGTCCAACGGCTCGTTCTCGTTCGGGCCAAATATTTTCGGGAAATACTCGGGCAGCAATCGTCCGAGAGCGAGGTTCGCGTCGGTGACAGCCAGAGGACCGTTCTTCTTGTAACAAGCTGGGCCAGGATGTGCCCCGGCGCTCTCGGGCCCGACCTCGAACAGGCCCGACCTGAAGAAAAGCATCGATCCGCCTCCTGCCGCAACTGTGTTCACGTCCAACTTCAATCAACCGAATTTTTGTTTCAATCGTTCTCTTACAACACCCTACTATATCGAGCCAATACCGATAATTTTTCACATAATAATCGTTTTTCACACAAAGATACGAATATCGAAATTTATTCGAGTATAAAATATTAGTGGAATACCTGCCCAGCTTGGATCGTGACACCCGCAGTTGTGCTCTCGTATACATGCTCGTAACTACCACCGAAACGACTGACATCGGTAGAAGTGCCACCCATGTCGAATCCAATCACGGGCAAATCGGTCTCTTTGCTGTAAGTGGTCATCGCGTAACCGACCACTCCGCCCGCCGGGCCGGAAAGAATCGCTCGAGACCCATTGAATCTAAACGAAAGAGGAACGCGCGTGATTAAAAATCGTCGACCGATTTCCTCGGCGATTCGATCGAATCGGGCACTCACGAATTCATCGGAGTCAATCCACCGTCGCTTTGCATGAACAGCACGTTCACATCTTTCAATTCATCTTTGAAACCGGAAGAGAATCCCTAAAAATTTGATCGAAACATTTATTTAGAAAATTCTTATTTCTCCAAATAATTGTACGAGTAATAATATTTAAGAAAATAATACCCGTAAGTATCGTTTGATGTGCGGGGTCAAATACGCATCGGCACAGGCGGTGAATCCCCTAGGAACTATTCTCGCCATGGGCATAATCTCGTGCGAAAGCGAAACTTGGGGGAAACCGACGAGTTTCGCCAATTCCCCTACTCGTATCTCGTGCTCGCCGTATCTAAGATGAACGAATAATAAAATACGAATGACGAATAAAACGCGGTAACAGTTGCAGATCGTAATTGGTACGCATATATATATATGTGATGGTGACGAACGTGTAACTGTGCGCGAGGACAACGGCTAAACTCTCGATTCCCGATCTTCTCAATTCCTCCAGATCTAATTTCAACTTTTCCTCGTCCAGTTCTCGAGTGACAAACAGATCCTCTCCCGTAGATCCCTTCACTCTGCGCCACTTCTTGTTATCCAACTGACACTTTCCAGCCGACGCGGGTATCACTCTGCACTTAACTTCCACTACCTTCTCGTACAATACTTCTGGAGTGACTATTTGCTGAAGAAACGAAAGAAGAACCATCTTTCTCAATTTAATCATTGTAACGTGTCGATTACAATAATTAAGATTAGGTTACGAACCAAGTCGAATATATCGGGGCGTGCTTGATTCCCGATAAAAAGAAGATCTTTGAATCCTTCGTTGATCAACAGCGCCATTCTCGCGCCTTTCCTTTCCAAAAGAGCGTTCGTGGCGACGGTCGTGCCCATTCGAATCCACGATATCAACGACCCGTCTATCTCTCCTTCCATTTTCCTCCCAGTCTCCTGCAAATTTCTTACATTATCGTCGATCGAACCAACAATCTCGACAAATATAAATACCTGTTCGAGAATCCTGCGAATACCTTCGCGCGGCGCGTCCTCGTAGTTGGCAGGATCCACGGAGAGCAGTTTCATCACTCGAATTTTCCCGCCTGGACACCTAGCGTACACGTCGGTAAACGTGCCGCCACGATCTATGGCGAACTCGAATTTATCACGACCCATTTTTACTTGTTCACTCGTTCGAGCACGAGTCTCCTTCTCGATTCTGGACGAGAATCGAACTGGGAGAAAGGGATGCGAAGTTTGTGCGCAATAATAATACTTGATAAGATGTGACGAGAAGAATGTGTATACATAACAGTGTAAACAAGCTCTCACGAGTGACAATGATTTCTAATTGTTGACAAACGTCTTCCCTCTCGTTTCTTCGTATCAACCAGAGATAATGAATCAATAAATCAATAATAACTTTCCCTTGACGTTGGTATTGATCGATGACACTTCCCCGATCGATTCGACGCAAACGTTAGTTTCGACAAATGCCCTCCAGAGCACACTAGACACCGTGACGAGAATCGACGAAATACAGATTCTCTTGTATTTTTCCATTTCTCTGCTCTGATAACGAACGCGATTACGTAACGCCACGATTCGGCCACAAATTTCCTCGCATCGAGGTTGATAAAAACGGTTCTCATTCCCGGACAGGGAATTCGAGGTTAGACGTATCGAATCATCGTCGTCGCTCTAAATTAAATAATGATCAATGATCTTTGTCGTGTCATTTCTATCCGGGGAGAAATACGGAGAGTGATATTTTTTTTTCAAGCGGAATTAATTCGAACGAATAAAAATTACTTTGTCGATCGTTTTTTTTTTTTTTTTTTCCTCCTCCATATAAGAAGATTCTTTATTCTCCTTATCCGAAATAACGTTAACCAAATTACTGGCTCGTGAATCGTGAGGGAAGAATATTACATCTGATACTCGACAGACGACCTGATAACGATGAGGGTCACTGTACTCGAACGGAGACTGCGCAACAACGATTTCTGCTTTTATTAGAGACAATACTGGGTGGGCGTACTGTAAAGCATCTCCAGGGGACAAAGTCCAGCTCGAATTGGTTTTCTTTTTTTTCAACAAGGGGACAATTTATTAAACTATGACGCAGAGTTTCATTTTATACACGGTTACTTTACAGAGTCACAGTCGTTTCGCTCCCAACCTTCACCATCTTCTTATAAAATAACTTAAAAAGTCTTAAAATCTCTAGGAATTCCATGCAATGGACAGATGTTCAGAAATTATCTTAACGTCTAGGCGAATCAGAATTAACAATTCACAATTTCTTCGAGATGTAAGTTTCTCTCCTAGTCAATACTTTTTTCTTTTCTTTTTTTTTTTTTTTTTTTTCTTGAAATACGTGTATCTATTAAAATATTATCATCTATCTCTTACAATTCTACTGTTCCGAAACTTTCTTCTTACAGTTTCTTATTATAAGAATCGTGAATTAAAATAGTTATAAAAATACGTGTAAATGTAGCAATTCTTCGATAGCCAAGTTCGCTGTTAAAATTTCGTTCGGAAATATTGTGGATATTTATAGACAAAAGATAAATCTGTCTAAATAGACTATTCCTCTCGTCAATAAATAGAAATTATACAAAAAGAAACGAGATTGTTTATACTTTAATGAACTCGCTAAAAAAATTACGAATTCACAATCGAATTTTCCCCTCCAGTATATTGTTGTAAATTTCTTCCGTTAACTTTACGTAGACACCAGAGTTGTCGAGGAAATAAATCGGGTCTGCGATCTGCGGAATCAATGTTACGTTTTGGATTTTAAATATGATTACTTGAAATAAAAATTTAAAAATTTACCTTCTTAATATCGAATCCATCTTCTTGAAGATCCTTTTTCTTCAATTTAAACGTGCCTGAAAATAAAAAAAAAAAAAATGTTTCGATCAATCGTTTTTCACTTGATAATTGAAATACTTGCCAGTCATCGGCAATTCCGACAACACTCGAACGAAAAGTGGCCTGGCATACGATGGTAAAGATTTCTTCACGCCGTCCGCCATTTCTTTGATGTTCAAAGTGTATTCCGGATCGTAAATGGCTGCCATTCCAGCCTTTCCTTCGGTTCCAGGTACCTGCCAATTGCAACAACGTCGTAGATCAAATTATTCTTAATAAAAATCGATCGATCGTCTCGTTCAATCACCTCGACTCCATATATAGCTGCATCTTTTAAACCTATCACATTGCTGACAACAGCCTCCACCTCGGAAGTAGCAACGTTCTCGCCGTGCCATCTGGAAAAAAAAAAAAAAAAATAAAATTAAATTCTTCACTCGAACGAAGATTGAATAAAATAAAATTTTCACCTGAATGTGTCACCAGTCCTGTCTTTAAAATAAAAGTATCCGAATTCGTCCATGAGCAAAATATCACCTGTGAAAGAAGCACGTTTCAATTATGAATACTTTTTGGATAGATTGATGAATTCTTTTTTTTTTAACCACTTTATTTCAATTACCAGAATTAAAGACTCGATCGCCTTTCCTGAATACATCTCGAAGAATTTTTTGTTCCGATGCTTTTCGATCCACGTATCCAGAAAAATCGTTCAATACCCTCTTTGGATTGATCTTCCCCACAAAGATGCCCGATTCTCCTGAAAGAAGAAGAAAGAAAAATCTTTTACCATAGTTTCGTGTTTTGAAAACGGTAATTAAATTCATTTCAAGTTTTAAAA